CTATGAAATAAAAGTAAGGACTAGAAGTGGTCTAGAGTCCTTATCAGGTTTCTAAATTTCACTCCCCTGTTTGCTCTTAGAGTACATCCCACCAGAGATGTAGAGATGGGGCACTGTGTCAAAAGTCATTTGAAATAATTATTCACCAGTTTTTTATATTGTTAGGTTCATTTATTTCATTTGGTTTTTAATTTGGGGGATTTCTTTGTGGTTTCATACTTTTGGGTTTGAGGCAGTTTCCTTTTTTTTTTTCCTGTTCTCTGGAATAATTTATATAAGGTAGGGATTATATATTCTTTGAAGGTTTGGTGAAATTCCCCTGTCAAATAGTGTAGGCCTGAATAGTGTAGGTAAATTTAAGGATTTTAAAAAACCTTTTAATTTTAAAATATTTGAATATGTAAATTTGCTTGGTATAAAAGTTAAAAACTCTACAAAGAGATGTACTCAAGGTTTTTGCTTCCATTCCTACTGTTTCACCCCATTCCCACCCATCCTCTATAGGTAATGGTGGTTAATCCTTTCTGCATTTTTTGGCAAGAAGAGCAAATATGTATATAAATTATTACTTACCCTTTTTTCTTTTTTTGAAAGGACTTTATTATGGAAAATTCTTAAACATATACAAAAATAGAAAGTATGGTGAGTGTCCAGCTTCAATAATTATCAACTCCTGGCTATTCTTGTTTTATGTATATTGTCACACTCTCTTTAAAAGTTACTTGGAAGCAAATCCCCAGACTTCGTATCATTTCATCCATAAAACATTTCAGTATATATTTCTAGAAGATAATGATGCCATTAATAATAAACTTACCCATAATATCCTTATCACACCTAAAAGTTAAAAATGACTGATTAATATATTAAAATATTCAGTTAGTGTTCACATTTCATAGATTGTCTCAAAATTTAAGAACAATGTTATTTTGAATCTGAATTCAGATAAGGTTGTACATTGCAACTGGATTTAAGATGAGGTCATTTTTGCTGAGGAGTTTTCCAGAGTCTGTATTTTGTAAATTACATCCCTGTGGTATCACTGAACTTATTTTCTCTGCATCTATGTTTCCTGTAAACTGGTGTTTAGCTCTAGAGTTCTGATCAGATTCAGATTTTATTTTTTTTTTGCAGGAATACTTCATAGGTGGTGTTGTGTACTTCTATCAGAAGGCACACATTGTCTGGTTGCCTCCTTTTTTGTGATATTAGCAGTCATTGATGATCATTGCTAGGATTCATTCTAGTAGGGGTTTCAAAATGGTGACAGTTGAATTCTGTTCTTCTCCATTTACTAGCTGGGATACTTCTATAAAGAGAAACTTCTCCTTAATATTTGGTTACCCTGGGATACATTTCATACAAGAAAAGCAGGATAAATGCTTGCTTTTTTCCTCCTTTATATTTACTCACTATCTAAATAATAAGCTAGTTCCTTAACATTTTTTTATGGGACCAATGAGTTAAAAAAAAATGGTATAGCACAGTAGTATTCCATTGTGTAGATATACCACATTTTATTTATCCAGTCATCTGATGATGGACATTTGGGCTGGTTCCAACTCTTGCCTATTGTAAATAGTGCTGCAATAAACATTGGAGTAAGAATGAAATACTACCATTTGCAGCAACATAGATGGACTTAGAAAAAATTATTTTAAGTGAAATAAGTCAGGCACAGAAAGGGAAATACTACATGTTCTCACCTATTTGTGGGAGCTAAAAATAAATAAATATACAAACAAACTGTGGGGGAGGGCGGCAGGGAAGAGACACAATCACAACAATTCCCTGAACTCGTTAAGACAAGTGAACAGATATGATGTTGATGGGGGGGGGGGGGGGGGGGGGAGCACGGAGAGGGAGGGGGGAAAGAGGAATTGGGAAAGAAACATGAAAATCAACTACATTGTGTATTGATAAATTTAAAATAAATAAATAAATGTTACTATGGGCTATTATCAACAAGACAGAAAATAACAAATGCTGGTGAGGATGCACAGAAAAAGGAACTCTCCCACATCGCTTGTGGGAATGTAAACTGGTACAGCCACTGTGGAAAACAGTATGCAGATTCTGCAGAGAACTAAAAATAGATCTACCCCACAACCCAGCTATCTCACTACTGGGTATATACCCAAAGGAAATGAAATCAATATATCAAAAAGACACCTGAACTACCATGTTCATTGCAGCACTATTCACAATAGCCAAGAGATGTAATCAACATAATGTGCATCAGCAGATGAATGGATCAAAAAACTGTGCTGTATATGCCTAATGGAATACTACTCAGCTATTAAAAAAAATGAAGTCCTAGCATTTGCAGCAACATGGGTGGAGCTGGAAACCATCACATTAAGTGAAGTAAGTCAGGCACAGAAAGCAAACGATGCATGATATCACTCATTGTGGATATTCTTTTTTTTTAAAAAAAGCGTTTCTCCTAGAAGTAGAGAGTAGAACAATGGCTACCAGAGCTGGGGCTGGGGGGAGAGGAAAAGTGGTGGACTTACGGGTACAAAACTGCTAATCTGCTCTAAGTGAATCACAGTACACGAATCACTTTAATACATGTGCATGTACTGAAACAACACTGTACCCCACAAATATGTACAAATAAATGTTAAAATATGTAAAAAATGTTATGAATTCATGGATTCAAACAATTTACTGTTTCCATCCATTTTTTTAATTATTACAGTAGTGCCCCCTTATTCAGTTTCACTTTCCAAAGTTTCAGTTACCCCAGCCAACTGCAGTCCAAAAGTATTAAATGGAAAATTCCAGAAACTAACAATCCATAAGTTTTAAGTTGTAGCATGACGTGAATCATCCCTTTGTCCAGAGCATCCACGCTGTATATGCCACCTGCCCACGAGTCCGTGCTTGTGTTCAAGTAACCGTCATTTTCCTTAGCAATGGCCCCAAAGCATGACGGTAGGGATGCTTGCAATTCGAATATGCCTGGTTTCCTGTGGCCAGGTGATAAATACCAGAATTATGTCCCAGATGAAATGCCTTTATTGAAACTGGGAAAGTTGATCTAAATGGGGTTTTTGAGGTGACAAGGGGGCAGCTGGGGCCTAGGTAGAGTGCGAAAGTGAAGGGCAGTGGGCGTCGGAAAACCGAGAGTGGTCTGGATGACTTTCCACATAAAATGACACCTTCTAACTTACGCGTTTAGAGAAGGACAGGCTCCCAGTTCTCGCCAGTCCTTCCTTTCCTTCCTCACCGCTCCTTTAGTGACCGTCCTGCCTGGATTACCCTCCCTGGCCTGCCTTTTCTCTACTGCAGATGTTCTGCTGCCTAAACCCACCTGCCCTTCAGACTGTAATCCTTAGATGCTGACCTCCTCGGTCCAGGCCAACCCCGTCCCTGATGGGGAGTGACTTCTTGGTCCTCAGCTTCCTGTTCTGAGCTAATCTGGACTCCAAAATAAATTTAAAAAATTTTTTATTGCGGTAAAATCCATATAACATAAAATTTACCATCTTAACTATTTGTAAGTGTACAGTTCAGTAGTGTTTAGTTCATTACATTACTGTGCCACCGATCTCCAGAACTTTGCCATCTTACAAAACTGAAACTCAGTACCCATTACACAGGGATTCCCCATTCCCCTCCCTCATCCCCTGGCGACCACCACTCCACTTTCTGTCTCTATGACTTTGACTGCTCTAGATACCTCACGTAAATGGAGTCACATAATGTTTGTCCTTTCATAACTGGCTTCTTTGATTTAGCATAATGTCCTCAATATTCATCCATGTTACAGCATGTGTCAGAATCTCCTTCATTTTAAAAGGCTGAATAATATTCCATTGTACATGAGCCACATTTTTTTTGTTTTTGTTTACCCATTGATCTGTTGATGGACAATTGGGTTTCTTCCACCTTTTGGCTGTTGTGAATACTGCTGCTACGAACATTGGTGTACCAATACTCTTCATGACCCTACTTTAAATTATTTTGGGTATATACCCCGAAGTGGAATTGCTGGATAATATGGTAATTCTATTTTTAAATTTTTGAGAAGCCACCATACTGTTTTCCATAGTGACTGCACCATTTAGCATTCCCACCAGTGGGACACAGGGTTCCAATTTCTTTGCATCCTTGCCAACACTTTTTCCTGTTTTTTTGATAGTAGCCATGCTAATGGGTGTGAGGTGGTATCTGTTTCTGGTTATGATTTCCATTTCTCAAATGATTAGTGATGTTGAGCATCTTTTCATGTGCTTGTTGGCCATTTGTACATTTTCACTGGAGCAATGAATGCTCAAGTATTTTGTAGGATTCTTTATATAGTATAGATATTTTATATTCTTCATATGAGTATATTCTCAATACTAACCCTTTATCAGATATATGATTTGCAAATATTTTCTCCCATTCCATAGATTACCTTTTCACACTGTTGGTTGTGTCCTGTGGTGCGCAACAGTTTTAAATTTTAGTGTAGTCCAATCTAACTATTTTTTCTTTCGTTGCCTATACTTTTGATGTCATATCCAAGAGATCATCGCCAAGTCTAATGTCATGAAGGTTTACCTATGTTTTCTTGTAAGAGTTTTGTAGTTTTTAAGTCCTATGGGTAGGTCTTTGATACATTGTGAGTTAAGTTTTGTATATGGTGTATCTACTGTCATGTTTGCTGAGAGTTAACAATATGTAGCAGTGGCAACACAGAGCGGTTAAGAAAGGGACTTCTGGGCCGGCCCCGTGGCTCACTCGGGAGAGTGTGGCGCTGGGAGTGCAGCAGCGCTCCTGCGGTGAGTTCGGATCCTGTATGGGGATGGCCGGTGCGCTCACTGGCTGAGTGCGGTGCGGGCGACACCAAGCCTAGGGTTGCGATCCCCTTACTGGTCACAAAAAAGACAAAAAAAAAAAGGAAAGGGACTTCCATATTTCCACTCTTGGATTTTAGCCCCAAATATGTTTTTCGTCTCTTTCCCCAACAAAGACTTACCCCTAGCCATGAAAGAGGCCACAAAATGTAAGAAAACCAATGCAAAAATTTATATTTTATTTGAATTCAAAAAATTTAAAATTGCTTTCAAATTCAGTAAAGTACCATAATGCAGGACCCCCAGGGGGAAGCCTCATATACAGAGACAGATAAATTAAATGTATATACTGCAGACAAGCCAAGAAGGTGTGTAGATTACATATTTACAGCAGTTGATGTTTTCTGAAAACCATATTTATACATTTTATTACATTTACAAAAAAGGCTTCCACTACTGTTTACCTACAATAATGAAAAAAAATTTACACCTTTTTTCTTTCTTTTTTTGGTACTGTACAAACTTTGTATAATAAAAATATATCTCTGTACAAAAGATTTTTTTTGTTTTTGTTTTACTTTTTTTTCCTCATGGGATGGTGGTGGGGATATGGTGTGATTGGCAGGTGAAGGATATAATCTGCCCTGTTCCCTTCCAAGCCTCTGGAGGTGGAGAGAAAAAGCCAGAGGTGGGAGAGGGTGATGCACAGCAGAGTCCTCGGTATCCCACCAGCATGTGCTCCTTGGGCATCTCATGGGACTTCACAGGAGACACAGGGAGGGAGTGGAGGCAGGGCTGGGGGAGTCCACTGGGTGGTCTGAGAGGAATATAAGAAGGGAGAAGGGGGCAGCCAAAGAGCTTCCTGCACTTGTTTCCAGGGAAAGAAAGAGATGAGAGCGTGAGTGTGTTTGTCTGGATTGGTCCACTCCTGCCAAGCCCAGGGATGCCAAGTGCAGGCAGGGGTGGGCAGTCTTCATTGTATCGCTGGAAACTGACACCTCTCATTTTAGCCAATCTTAACATCAGTCAGATCTTTTAATTGTTCCAACCCAGAATTTGCCTAAGAATCAGGTGTCCCTGCCCCTCTATTCCCACACATTTCTATATCTGATTTCAATATGTGATATGAACATCTGAGGCCAGCATGTCGCACGTGCGCAGGTGCTTATGCCCATGGAGACCTTCCAGAGGACATAGAAAGTGGTTCTAAATGCTGTACTTTGATTCCTAAGTTCCTTAGCTTCCCAGCAGTACTCAGGCACAATATAATACCCAAGCACAATGAAACTGTCAAAATAAATCAAGCCCACTTGCAAGAAGCTGGAGAGTGTGACTTTCACTTACTACATTCTTTTGATTCAGGAGCTTCCAGGTGTTTTGTCTGCTATGGGCAGGGCCTGCTGGGAGCAGAGGTCTGGGTACTGGGTCCTTGCTGTGACGCTGCCCACGTGGAGAGAGCAGAGCCCAGATAGGACACATGGATGCCCTGCCTGGCATGCCAGACCTGGCCACAGAGCTCCTGTAGAGATCCAGTTCCTCCTCCCTGTCTTTGATGCCCTTTCTAGACCTAGGTTTCTGGCAGCTGGTGTTGTGGGCTTGGAGGTCAGACCGACTGGATTTGCATTCTGACTCTGCACTTACTCTCTGGCTCACGTCTCTTCAGCTTTCCGGGCTTCGGTTTGTTCACCTATAAACTGGGAATAATAAATCCTATGTTTTGTGTATAGACAAGAAATAATATATGTGAAGTGTCAGGCACAGAGAAGCAAGCCAGTATGCGGTGGTCATTATTTTGGGGGTCCTGGGGCAGGCTCACTCCCCTGTCCCTTCCAGCACTTCCCTGCTGCCTCCAGACCCGGCATCCCTGGCTGGGCACAGACTTGTTTGCTCTTCTCTGTCAGTGGACAGCCAGATTTGACCTTGGGCTCCTGGCCAGATTCCTGTCCTGCCTCCCCTCGACTCGCCCTTCTTTTCTAGTGCTGCCCAAGACCCAAATGACTTTTTAATTCACTTGGTTTAGAGCTCAATAAAATTATGTTTGAAAAAATAAAGAAATTAATTTCTAAACTGTTTTTGGAGGTTTCTTTCCTGCTCTTGGGGTAGTCCTGGCTGTCACTGTGCAGATGGGACTGTCCATCTGCAGATGGCTGGTTTCTGCGTACTGACCACCAGGGGAGGCATCCTACTAGTACATTCGCTGTGTCCTCGCACGTGGGACAGGCGGGGGCATGTCCGTCCCCTCTTCATCTCTTCTCTGTGTTTGTCAGGACAGGACATGGGATGTCTTTCACACACATTTCACTTTTGTTAAGTCTTTATGGTCTCTTCCACAGGATGTAAATGAAGGGTAGGGTTGTTGTGTGTGTGTGTGTGCACGTGCACGCTCAGGCCTGTACACACACACCGCACATCCACAAATTGCTTTGCTGTTTTAAATCCATACACTTCCTTCCTCCGTCTGCAGCTCCTCTTCCTTCGCTGCCGCAAGTCAGGGCATAGCGGGAGTCCCCTCCAGGGTGGTGGACGCAGATGGCGGCAGGGCGAGGGCCCAAGTCCCAGCAGTAGCAGATACAGGCAGAGAGACGGACGAAGATGGGCACTGGGCACTGTGCTCAGGGGGGCCTGTGGCCTGCCCCCTGGGGAACTGGGGACAAACAGATCACATCAGAGTTTGTAATAAAGCGAGGCAGTGGGTGGGGGTGGGGTGGGGAGCAGGAAGAGGCAAGAGAAAAAAGGCAAGGTAAAGATGGAGCACTGGGAAGAAGGAAAGAACAATTCAGTGCCTCCATCTTCATCTTCGATTTTTAATCCTTCCAAACTGGGGGTGGGGTATAGGTAGGGAATACGCACAGCAGGACACATTCTTCCAATTGTTGTCTGTTTCCCTTGCAGGACCGACTTATCCATTAGGCACAGTAGGCCCAGTGCCTAGGGGCCACTGCACTTTTAGGGGCTCAGGAAAATCTTTTAATTTTAGTTTCTTTCAAAATCAGAAGAAAAAATGAACATAATGGTAATAGACATGTAATAATAAATCCAGATTGGAATCTATCCATCTAACGCAGTTGTAAAGCATCGTTTGTAATATATATATTTTTTGATAGCAGAAGGCGGCATGAAAGTCATAACACAACCCGGCTCCCGTGCCCTCCACTCATGGACCCACAGGCCTCAACTACTTCCCTCTGTAGAGTTTTTATTTTAATTTCAACTGCTCTCGTTAGGCATCAGTTGACCTGACCATCTAGTCATCTAATCACTCATTTTGCACGTGTGTTTGTTCAGGGTGGTTGCTCGTGCAACCCCTCATGAGCCGCGCAGCACTTTCTCTGTGCCCAGCTCTGGCTGCAGGAGTTGGAGAGACACTGCTGGAGAGTTGTGGGACAGTGGCACTTGTGCACACCCTCATGAGCTGCACAGCACTTTCTCTGTGCCCAGCTCTGGCTGCAGGAGTTGGAGAGACACTGCTGGAGAGTTGTGGGACAGTGGCACTTGTGCACACCCTCATGAGCTGCACAGCACTTTCTCTGTGCCCAGCTCTGGCTGCAGGAGTTGGAGAGACACTGCTGGAGAGTTGTGGGACAATGGCACTTGTGCACACCCTCATGAGCCACGCAGCACTTTCTCTGTGCCCAGCTCTGGCTGCAGGAGTTGGAGGGACACTGCTGGAGAGCTGTGGCACAGCGGCAGTTCAGAGGCTCTGGCTGCTGGCAAGGGAGTGACGCTGACAGCTGCCTGGATTTGAACCACCAGCCCCAGAAGATCCAGTGGTAAAAGCATTGTGCACGTGGGCACCTGGGGCCGCATGGAGCCTGGTGTGGCACGAGGGTGAGGGTGTGTGTGGGTCACCGGACATTCTTGCTTCTTATACTGTTCAGTAATTCACGCAGTGACCCGAAGTGCACATTCATCACTATCACCTCTAAGGCCTGACATCTCTTTTTCTTTTTTGCTTTCTATTTGTGAGTTCTGAGTAGGAAAAAGTACACATTGAGCATAAAGATGAAAGCTCAGGAATCATTTTGACATGTTAAAATAATCTCAGTGGAATAATTTCTCCTCCTATCTAAACGTTTGTTTTGGAGAGATGTAAATGGATGGGAAAACTCTTAAATAAATTGTATCCAAAGTTGCCTCTATATGTTCTGAAACTTATTTATCTCTTTGCATATAAATTATCTTAATTAACATTTACAACTTTAAACTTTGATTTAAGGAACAGAAATGATTGAGAGGAAAAAAGTGGCCTCAAAGTGGGGAGGGGAGAACCGAGGGAGCATGTGAAGTGCCTCGTGAACTAGCCGCGTGGTTCTGGACTCAGGCTGAAGTCACGCTGTCAGGGACCGGCAGTCAGTGTTCAGCAGATGGAGACTTTATAACGACTGTCTGGCCAGGAACATCTGTTGCATGCACTGCCATAACTAGGAGCATGGGAAGGGAGAGCTGAAACTAGCCTTAGGGTTTGGCTGATGACCCACCTGACAGACTTTCCTTAGCCTGGCTGGGACCCCTGCCTCCCTAGGCTCTGTGACTTTTCTCTCCAGAGCCCTCCAGCCCTGGCTAGGCTAAGTGGCAGGAGGTACCTGAGAGATGGCACCTGCCTGTCCCAGAGAGTGGGATGAGACACTGTGCTGGGAGGGGAGCAGCTAGGATATCTTGTTGGGGCAATTCCTGAAGGTTCCCGGGTCCTAGAGGAAGAGGGTGTCATCGAGGGAGGACACGGTGAGGAAGAGGTGATGCCTTTCAGATTTGTCATCTCCCTGGTGAGCCTGTTGGACATGAGAGCTCACGTGTGTGTGTGTCTGTGTGTGTGTGTGGCAGTGTACACTTGTGTGTGTGTCTGCCCCTCTGTCCATGTAACAAGGGACTCGGACCAATGAGGGATTGTGTCAGCCTGTCAAAGAGCCTATGCTCTTTGTGATGGTTAATTTTATATGTCAACTTGCCTAGGCTATGGTGCCCAGTTGTTTGGTCAAACGCAGGTCAAATGTTGCCGGGAAGATCCCTTGTATATCTCTATATAGTTGTATAGCTATAGATATGTATGATGATTCTTCAAAAAGTTCATGGAAAGATTCATATTATCTTTTAATTCTATTTTCCACAAACTTTAAAAAGTATCCTTTTATATATATCGCTCTATATAAAGATGTACAGATGTATATGTTGTGTGTATAGTGTGTATATATACACAATATACCCACACACACACACATAAACATGAGGGATCTTCAAAAAGTTCACGGAAGGATTTGTATTATCTTTTAATTCAATTTTTCCACGAACTTTTTGAAGTACACTCACATATATGCATCTCTATATATCTATACATATCTCCAGAGACTGGCCTTGACCCAGAAGATATATATTTTTTTCTCCTATTGCTTCTGCTTCTCTGGAGAGCCCTGACTGATACTCTCTCCCTGGATACACTGCAAGCCCAGTGGTTAAGAGCACAGTCCCCAGAGCCAGCCAGCCTGGGATTAGATTCTGACCCCACTGCTTATCTGTGTGACGTTGGTCAGGTTAACCAGTTTTTCTGCACCTCAGTTTTCTCATGTTCGATGGGATCCTAATAGCACCTACTTCACAGGTGGGGTAGGGGTTCAATTAGTCACCTCTGCAAAGTGCCCAGCTCAGAGCCTGGCACCCAGTCATACCCAGCGCACTGCCCTTCTCTTACTAGATGTGTCTGTGGTGGTGTGTGTCTCCATGTTGTGGGGCACCTGTGCATGCACAGACACCTGTCTGTCCATCACGGCCTGTCTGCCTCCCACACTTCCATCTCACCGGCTGCTGGAGGCGGGGCTCTCTGTGGCGGTGGCAGTGGCAGCCAGGCCTGGTGGCTATACTGCTGTACACACTGTGCTGACTGTGAACTCCGCCTCGCTGGCCATGATGTCTGTGGGCTGGATGTTGCGGTCATACATTGGGTTCTCAAATGTGGCTCGAACATTTGTGTTCTCGTGGCCGGCATAGCCATTGAAAGGGACTTTGGGTCTTCTCCTGGAATAACAGAGAGAGTGACCATGGCATAACAAGAGAGAGAGACAGGGAGACTCAGGGGTCCTAGGGGGAGCAGAAGGGAGAGAGGGAGGCTCGTTCTTCCTTTCAGAAGGTTGCAGTGCTCCTGAGCCAAGAAGGCTCAGGGTGTGCTTGGGCCGGGGATAGGCATGGAGCCCGTTGTGTCACCTCCCGGCCCACGGCTCCACTGTACCTGTGCTTGTAGAGATACAGCACAAAGCCTGCAATGATGAGGGCGATGAAAGGCACCAGGATGGCGGCTGCCACGGAGCTGCTGTTGGAAGCAAAGTGGCGGCCGATGGACTCGGGATCTGACTCCAACAGCCTGAGGTCTGTAAAGTCCCAAAGCATAATGCTCAAGTCACAGAGACGCAACCTGAGGCATACGGTCCCTGCTGGCTACCTGCCCCCACCGCACACTCTTGGGAAGGGTGGCTGTGGCTCGGGCTATCACCTGTCCCCCCCCAACACTCAGACACTCCCAGTAGAAGGCCCCACGTGCTTTTGCCTCCTGCTGATCAGACCGGAGCCAGAGGGTTGTGTTCAGTCCTGGGGAGGACAATCCGCAGAAGAACCTGAAACTGTGTCTCTGAATAAAATGCAGAGAGGGTGCAGCCCTTTAGAAGTTTCTAAACTTCTTTTGGCCATAGAAGCCTTTCACCAGATGGAACATGTGAAGATGGAACTGCTCATTGAAATGGGGGAGCGGAGCTGAAGTTTCTCCTACTGGAGGGTCTCCCTCCTCCCCCCCGGGCCTCCCCCACAGACTGGGAGGACTCGGAAGAACACAGTTAGACTCTGCGGCCCCTTCTAAGTGCCCACCTTACCGAGGGGCCTGGGGCTCTGAAAGGGGATGGCTTTGCCTGAGGGGACAGAAGTCGGTTGTGGGGCCCCACAGGATCCCTGATTTTCTGAGGTCTTCCCAGTGTGCAGGGGTGCGGGCCGGGGCACTGAATCAGGTATTGGAAGAGAGAGGTCACAGTGCACACAGCTCATGAGGCAGGCTAGGGCAACCCTGGGGAGGAGCAGTGTGACCTGGGAACGACAGGGAGGCAAGTTCTGCTTAACACAGGGAGACACTTTCTGGAGGTCAGAGCTGCGACAAAGTGCAATGGACCACCTTGGCAGGCAGGGGCCCTGGGGACAGCAGCGTCAGGGTCCGGGGTGCAAAGCTGCCTCTTGAGAGCCCGCGGGTGCCTCCTGTCTCTCTGCGCACTACTTCAGAGAAGCCAGGACCATTCCTCCCTCGTCAGAGTCTGAGGCTGGGCACCCAGAGGCTGTGGCTCAAGGCCAGCCTCTGCAGCGAGGACATTTGACACGGATGCTGTGAGGCACGCAGGGTAAAGATGCTGGGGAAGAACAAAGGAGGGAAGCCTCCCGGAGGCTCAGTTTCCTCATCTGTGAAATGGGGACAGCAGTACTGGTGCTCTCGGACTGCACTAAGGAGGAAAGAGCGTCACAAGTGAGGGCACCCCTAAGGACCCCGAGTTGGAATGCTTCAGGATGTCTCTGTTCTTTGAGACAGAGGTGACTCCTGGGGGCAGCCAAATAGTGCTGCTGGGGGCTGTTTTGAAAACCCAATGTCCCTTAAGTTGGGAACTCTCAACTGAAGGGCTGAGTGTGATACTGTCTGGCAACAGTTGAGTGTGCAACGTATGAGTGTGAAATGTTGAGGTTGTATGCTCGATTCTGGAGAGATATCCCACAGCTTTTGTCAGAATCTCAAGTGTCCCTGATCCGAAAAAGGCTAAGAACCCCTGTCCTAGACTGTTGAATGTCACCAATCCTCTCCCCCAGTACCCACAGTTTCTCTCCCACCCCCATGAGTTCATATTTCCAAGGAACAAATACTAGTTACCAAGTCTTTGAAAGCCGAACTGCCCAAAGCCTTCTTGGCCTTTCACAGAGCCTTGGTAGATGAAGGTGCCTCCGGAGGACTCTGAGGAGACCTGTGATGGTGGGCAGCAGAGAGAACAAGATGGAAGGCATGCCAGAAGGATCCAGAACTCCCGCTGGCCAGGCCAGAGACACACTCATAGGTACATGCTGCAGACAAGCTTGTGCCACCCACCGACTCATTTCTCCAACACACAGACATTTGACAATCTGCCCACCTCCAGGTAAGGGTGGAGCATGACTGACATGCTGGGGGTGGGACGGGGGCACCAACTACTTGTATGAGTAGAATCTACTCAATCTGCCTGTGCCTCAGTTTCTCATTTTTAAATGGGAATAACAACAGTACGTATGTCATAGGGTTGTAGTGAGGATTAAATGAGTTAATATGGACAAAGCACTTAGAACACCTAATTAACAGGCCTTAGATAAGTGTGAGCTATTATTACTGTGATGAAAAACTGACTTTTGGAGCATCATGGGACAAACAGAACCATTAAAATGTACCTAGCAGACTTAAAGTCCTTTGGAAACTTTGTCACAGTTCAATAGCTATTTAATTTTCGTGGCTGGGAGGGTTGTTGGAAATAACTATTCCCTGTTCCCTCTGCCACCATGCCTCCATGATGCCCACGTGACAGACAAAAACACTCAAACGTGTAGCCTGTGGCTTTGGCCACGGAGGGCCAGCTTTGGGGATGCTTATGCTACTGGTGTCCCTTCTGACCCTTCTCCACCCACGCTCCATTCCTGGGGCCCCCTCTGTCCAGCATGTTCCTGGCTGACCTCCCCACCTATCCTGGCCATAGAAGAGGCCCCGATGGCTGTTCTGTCACTCTAGGCAGTTGCTCTGGCTGCTCCTGGCCCTCCAGAGCTCCGCTCTTGTTTTGCCCTTGCCTGCACTGTTAGAGCCATGTCCCAACTTTGACCCTGGTTCAACCCTCCCAGCACGGAGAGTCTCCTGTTCCTGCACAGCTTTTGGACTGCTACTATAGAAGCTGGCCCGTACTTGGATGCCCAAGGGAATCCACAAGGTGCCTATAGGAACACCAAGGAACTAGCAATATGTGCCAGCCCCTGGAGAAGCCACTTGGTTCTCGTAATGTGCTTATAAAGCAAGGCCACTAAAGCCACAGTCTTCCACCAGCTAGTCTTGTCCATGAAGATGCACTGTGACTCCTCAGCTTCTCTGGCTCACCATGATCATTTGCTCCTTCCTATCCTTCTTCTAGCTCCAGCAGTCCAAGACTGGGAAGCTGAGGATGTAGTAGGTGATATTATGCTCAACTCCTCTACCTGTGAGCTAGGAAGATAAGGGCAGAGGAGCATCCCTGGGGACTTGGCTTCCCCCTCAAGAATACCCTAGAATGCAATAAGTCTTTCTTACAAGGGAATGCAAGAGAGTCCTGTCTCTTTTCCATGTTCTGGTCTCTCAAGCTGTGATAAGTCACCCACAATCTGCATCCTCAAATGTGAGCCGCTGTTCAAGGTAGTCACGTGGGACTTAGCACCTTTTCCTGGCTTCCACCGGCCACACCACCACCAGCTTGCTCATGTGCACACCTATGCCCCTGACCTCCAATCTGCTGCTCTCGAACAGCAGAGCTTACTCCACCTCTCAGATGTGGTGGCCCTTTGGACTCTGAGTCTTCTGGCACTTTTTATCTTTTCCTTTGCCCACTTCATTAGCAGATGAGGACTCCCTTGCTCCCAGTCCTGGCCCCACAGAAAACCTCCCAAGTTTCCATGTTGATCCTAGGAGTTTCCACACCCTTCTGTCCTCCTTTTCCCTGCCCGGGGTTCTGGGAAGGAGGACGGGGCAGGGCACGAGATCAGTTTGTTGAACTTACATGCCCATCCAAAGCCCAGTGGTCATCTTTGAACTTATTCACAAAGATCTCCACCGGCCCTGTAATCTGGTAAACCTGGAGCAGAAGATGGAAATCTTCCTTCTTGTAATTTCCTGGGAAAAACAAGTTTGGAAGGTACATTTGAAAGATCTGGGAAAATTTCAAGATCCAAATTTGTGGGTATGTGAGTGTGAGTGTCTGCGTGGAATATCACGTGTAGATGTTGATATAAACATTCCCTGCATACCTACAAGTAGGCAAGTATGGTGTTGCATCTGAGTTTGTGTACACAGCACATGAGTATATGCAAGAATGTGCATGTGTGTGTTGATAAACAACCAGACTACTGGGCTGAGATTGTGATCCTGTTTATACATGCACATGTGAGAATACGATCTGTGTAATCTGTTCATTAATGCATGGGCATGTTTACAGTTCGGTGGGTGCAGGAATGCATGAAGGCATGTACATGGGAGTATGTGAATGTGTTTATGACTACGTGTGACATCAAATGAGTGATGTGACCCTGTAGCTGTGTGTGTGTGCATGTGTGACTGAGTGGGTACGATTGTATGTGCGGTTGTGTATTAATGTGTTCGTTCATTCACTCATGTATTCCTTTATCTATCCATCTTCAATGAACACTTGTTTTCTAAGATATTTAGTTTTCATGATTATAAAAACATTGAAAATTGGGGAAATTCTGGAAAATGCAGAGATGCATAAAGAAAAAAATCTCTCTGATTTCAACACTAAGAAATAACCACTGTTAACGTTTTGGTATGAATACTTGCAGTTTTCTTTCTTAATATAAGTTTTTCCTTTGAAAAACTAGAATCATATTTTAAATGGATTATAATGGGTGCATTTCCCCCCAAATTGGCGTAATATTTTATCCAGCAGAGATACTATAATTAAAATACCCATTTCTTTATTTTGGGGAAATTTTCTATGCCCAGTTTTTATGTAATACAAATGGCCATGTAATGTAAACATCCTTTATTCACAAATGTCTAACTTCCTCCAGATCAATTTCTTATGATAAAAATTGTTAGAAATATAATTAGTGGATTTAATGATTTTTAACATCTTGATATAAATTCTCAAATTGTTTTCTAGAACTGTACTATTTTATTCTTTGGCCATCACTGCTGAAGCTGACCAGCACTAAGGTTTATTACCTTAAAAAACTCTGAGTTGATAAGTGGAAAATGACATTTTGTGTTTACTTTTATTTTTTTGATTACTGCTGAAAAATATTTTTCCTTATGTTTATTGATTGAACTTTGGCTTCTGGGAATGTTCAGCCCCTGTTTTTGGTTCACCTTTAGGGATATCGGTCTCTTTTCTTTTTGTTTATAACAGTTTACATATTCAAGTTATTAATATTTGTCATCTAACCATTTCCATTTAGTCCATGGTGCTTTTTTCATACAAAGATGTGTAGACCCTCCCTCCTCCTCTGATCACCAGACAATTCTAAGCCTCACAGGACAGTATAATGCAATGACATCAGACACATCTTTGCAAAGCGTGTGTGCCCATCCCCCTCACCACCTGCCCTGCTTTCAACAGAGGTGGCCTTCTCCTTACCAGCTAAGTGCAGCTCCACACCACTGTGGTCTATCATGGTGGCGTTGACCTTGCTGCTGGCAACCTGGAAGCCAGTCACTCTGAGCATGGCCGGCTGCTTCTTGCCCTGGTACTCATAGGCCCCTTTCCACAGGGAATTCTTGGCAAAAACATCCCCAGGAACTAGAGGAATTGAGAAACTGATGTGAGAGGAACTTTGTGCTGGTAGAATTGGGGCCACCTGATGACAGATTGTTTCCTTTTCCCCAACATCTAACACGTGGGGAGAGTTGTAGAGTGCTCTGACCCTCTTGTGATCCTCTCGTGTCTCAGAGTGGACAGGTGGCAGAACTGAAATCTGTATTGCAGGATTATTCACTATAGCCAAGACATGGAAACAACCTGAGTGTTCATCAATGGATCAATGGATGAAGAAAACGTGGTATATATAAACAATGGAATACTATTCAGCCTTTAAAAAGAAATTCTGTCATCTGTGACAACATGAGTGAACCTAGGAAGATGTTACGCGAAGTTAAATAACCCAGGCACAGAAAGACAAATACTGCGCATGGAATCTAAAAAAGGTGAAACTCAGAAGTAGAGAGTAGAATCATGGTATAGAAGCTGGGGTGGGGGAGAGGAGGAGATGTTGATAAAGGGTACAGAGTTTCACTTTTACAAGGGGAATAAGTTTCAGTGACCTATTGCACCACTTGGTCACTGTGGTTAATGATAGCGTATTGTATATTTCAAAATTGCAAGGTTTTAAACGTTCTCACTGTGAAAAAAATGATAACTAGGTGTGGAGATGGATATGTTAATCAGCTTAATTTAATCATCCCACAATGTACACATATCATAACATCACATTGTACCCCATAAATAGGTGCATTAATTATAAGTCAATTAAAAATAAAACATAAAAAAAAGAAAAGAGAGGGAGGAAACTAGAAGGATGACAGAGAAGAGGAAAAAAGGACAGAAGTGGTTTAAAAGATGGAGAAAGGGAAAAGAGAGAAGGGAGAGAAAACCAACCTGTCAGTAAAGTGTGGTGGACAGGAACATGGGCTAATAAGTCAGACAGATCTGGATCCTAATCTTAGTTCTGTCACTTAGTTGTTTGATTATGTGCAAGATCCTCAACTTCCTCACTTGTACAGGCCACACCTGTAGTTCTGTAAGTGGGGGCCTTCCCACTACCTCATCAGTTTTACTGTAGGGCTCAAATGATCTAAAGTTACAAGTTGTATGTTGCACAGAAGCACCCAATGAGTGGTAGCTACTGGGTTGTTATTTATCTTTATAGTAATTCTCTAAGGCAAGTATTATGATCTCTATTTTACCAAAAGGTAAATGGAAGCTCAAGAGGTGAAGCTCATTTGCTCAAGGCCACAGCTAGTCAGTGACCAAAATGGCACTCAAACTGAGTCTGTGATGTCAAATCTAGTTTTGTCTCCCATATAACACACATGCTAATGTGCTAAATAAAAGTAGAAGGTTCAAAAAAGGACGTGAGAGTCTATAATAATTTTGCATTGGTCAGGCCACACCTGTAGTTCTGGATGTGACACTTTGAAAGACACAGGACCTGTCTTAAGAATGCAACCATTTCCAGGAAGCTCTTTGGGCTGGACCTGGTCTGTGTGTCTGTTTGACCACATACTGGCCAGTCCTGTGCCAACAGGGGCTGCGATAATTAATGGTTCCAGAGCTTGCAGCTCTGGACATGCTTTTGGAAGGCCCTGGCTCTCTCTTCTGGATGAGGCTCTGGCTCTCTCTTCCTTCAGGCTCACTTCCTCCTGAAGTCTGCTTGGGGTTGGGAGGTGGGTGGGGAAATCTGTCTGCGTCTACAGATAGTTTTCATGCCCTTCCACTGGGTGCTCAGCAACTCACATACATGTTTCTGGCTCACAAGATGAAGCAAGAAATACAAATTTCTTGAGCCAATGACTTGGACAATATGTACCTGAGACTTGAGTGAGTGGTGGCTCCCGGGCAGTGTTGATGGGTCTCCCACTGGGCCGGACCTCTGCTGGGGAAAGAGAATGGAAGAAAAACAGGTTCAGCTTCTGGTTCACACTCTATTGGAAAAATAATGGCCACCTTTCTGCCATTAGGTTGATGGGTTCTCTGAGATCTTGCTTTGGACTTATCTTCTTAGGCCAGGAAGTGGACTGCTTTGATGGTCTAGTGATGATATGGACCCCTTTCAGAGTAATAAAATACAAAGAATTACAAAGAAAATCGATTATATTAGTTACAGTTATTAAAATTTTAAACAAGGCACTGCACTACGAGATAGTTGTGCACACGATTCTTCATTACTGCATTAAATAACAGGATCTAACAGCAAGTCTAGTAACTACCATAATCTTGAAGTAGTCAGTAATATAAAAAAATATTTCATAATATTGGTAGCAATTGTAATATAATACAAAAATCTCTGCAATTTCTACTGGTGACCAAGTCACAGGTGTTGCCGATGCTACTATGGGTTGTCTACACACAAAATCAAAGGAAATGCTAAATTTCAGTAAGAGGTAGAGGAAAATAAAGATGTATATTTTCCCACCCTAGTGCACAGATCCCCTGAATGCTTCTGTTGAGGACTTTGGATTAAAAAGTCCTATCCTTGACTCTACTTTCCTTCCAGATGCCTTGCACAAAGGAGACCTTCCACCATCAAAATGAACTCCTTAAGCATTGGTGGTGGTTTCAGTGGAGTGCACCCCTCCCTTGGAGTGATGGTATTAAGACTGAAAAGCCCTCACTTGCCAGTGAGGCAAAAGTAGAAGCTTTGGGCCTGAGGCAGACAGCCTAGGTTCAGGTCCCAGCAGTGCCACTTAATGACTATGTGACCTTGACTAGGCACTTCGCCACTCAGAGTCTTTATCCTCTCATTTGAAAAGTGGAAAAATACTAAAATGTACCTCAAAAGTCTATGCTGAATGAATGAGGTTATGAACATGAAAGTCACAGTCAGTAAATATTACTGTTTTTTCTTCTTTTGCAGAGAAACAACAGAAAATCTGCCTTGTCACCAAGTAAGGGCAGAATCCCTGAAGGGGCGGGATAGCACAGAGTTTTAGCAAACCCCCTTCAGCTCTGGAGGTCAGCTTATGCCTATGTATACATAAAGCTGTGGAGACATTTTCCAGTGACTCAGTGAAGGTATACTTCTGAACAGAATGCTTTCATTGTCTCAGGTTTTGTAAGATGAAGGGAGCAAAGAGAGAGAAAGCATTTTGTGTGCCAGTCACTTATTTGTGTTGTCTCATTTACTTCCGCTTTCAAAATTGTGAAGTAGGGATTATCGTCTCCATTTTACAGAAGAGAAACTTGTTGAGAGGCAGGGAGGTGAAGGGACTTGCTCAAGATCACACAATAAGGGGCTGAATTGGGACTCAGCTGCATCTAAAATATTTTACATTTTAAAATTCAAGTATCTGTAACAGCATAAAAAAGAATAACATACTTAAGAATAAATGTAACCAAAATAGTACAAGATTTGTACACTGAAGATTATAAGACATCACTGAAAGAAATTAAAGGTCTAAATAAATGAAAAGACATCCCATGTTCATGGATTGGAAAGATATTGTTGAGATGGTAATACTCCTCCAACTAATCCACAGATTCAACACACTTCCTGTCAAAATCCCAGCTTCTGTTTTTTCAGAAATTGACAAACCAATCCTAAAATTTATTTAAAAATAAAGGGGACCCAGAATAGACAAAACAATCTTGAAAAAGAAGAATGAAGTTGGAAGGCATAAGGATAGTCATCTAGGTCAATGGAACAGAATGGAGAATCAGATATAAACTCATACATTTATGGTCAAATGATTTCTGACAAGGATTGTAAGAGAATTCAATGATGGAAAGAATAGTCTTTCCAACAAGTGGTGCTGGGACAACTGGATATTCACATGCAAAAGAACAGATTTGAACTCGAACCTAATACCATACAAAAATTAACTCAAAATGGATCAAAGACATACATTTAAGAGCTAAAACTATAAAACTTCCAGATGAAAACATAGGCATATATCTTTGTGACCTTGGGTTAGGGAAAGCTTTTTTGATGACAGCAAAAACATAAGCAACCAAATAAAAAAAAATAAACAGATAAATTGAATTTCATCAAAATTAAAAACCTTTGTGCTTTAAAGGACATCAACAAGAAATGAAAAGATGACCCACAAAATGGGAAAAAATATTTTCAAATCATGTATCTTATAGTGTATTCTAGATACATAAAGAGCTCTCATAACTAAACAATAAAAAGACAACCCAATGGGCCGGCCCGGTGGCGCACTGGAGACTGCGCCGCTTGGGAGCGTGGTGGCGCTCCCGCCGAGGGTTCAGATCCCATGTGGAGACCAGTTCCCGCTCACTGGCTGAGAGTGGTGTGGCCACAACCCCGAGTGTTGTGATCCCTTTGCCGGTCCCCGGTACGGGCGCGACACTGAGGGTTGCAATTCCGTTACCGGTCAGTAAAAAAGACAAAAAGGAAAAAAAAAAAAAACGACAACCCAATTTAAAAGTGGGCAATAGATTTGAATAGACATTTCTCTATAGAAGATATACAACGGCTAACAAACTCATGAAAAGGATGCTCAGCATCATTAGCCATTAGGGAAATGTAAATCGAAACCACAGTGACACAGGTAACGAAAAGTAAAAGTAGACAAGTGGGATTATAGCAAACAGCAAAAGAAACAATTAAGAGAGTTAAGAGACAGCCTACAGAATGGGAGAAAATATTCACAAAGCATACATCTGACAAGAGGTTAATATCTAAAATATGTAAGGAGCTCAATAGTAAGAAAATAAATAATCTGATTAAAAAATGGGCAAAGGACCTCAATAGACATTTCTCAAAAGAAGACATACAACTGGCCAACAGCTATATGACAAAGTGCTCAACATCACTAATCATCAGGGAAATGCGAATTAAAACCACAATGAGACATCACCTCACACCTGTTAGAATGGCTGTTATCAATAAGATGAAAGATAAGGGTTGGCAAGAATGTGGAGAAAGGGGGGCCTTGTACACTGTTGGTGGGAATGTAAATCAGTACACCATTATGGAAAACAGTATGGAGGTTCCTCAAAAAATTTAAAATAGAACTACCATAGGATGCAGCAATCCCACTTCTGGGTCTATACCCAAAGGTTACTATGGACCAAGGAAAAGGGGAAAAGAGAAGTTATTGTTTCACGAGTACACAGTTACTGTTTGGGATGATGAAAAAGTTTTGGGAATGGACAGTGGTGATGGTGAACATCGTGAATGTACCTAATGCCACTGGACTGCACAGTTAACATTTTTTTTTCCTTTTTGTCTTTTTTTCGTGACCGGTAATGGGATCGCAACCCTCGGTGTTACGCCCGCACCATGCTCAGCCAGTGAGCAGACTGGTCTCTATATGGGATCCGAACCCTCGGCGGGAGCGCCACTGCACTCCCAAGCGCCGCACTCTACCGAGTGCGCCACCGGGCCAGCCCACACAGTTAACATTTTAATCACAATGATTTAATTCCTTTAACTTGTTAAGACAAGTGAACAGCCATGATGTTGATGGGGGGATGGGGAGAGGGAGGGGGAAAGAGGAATTGGTAAAGGGACATGAAAAATCAACTACATTGTATATTGATAAATTAAAATAAAAAAATTAAAAAGAAACAAAGTTAAGATTTTGCTATAAAAAAAAATAAAATTAAAGCACAGCAAGGTGCTTTGTGAATAAAAAAAACCCAAAAAACCTTTTATTTTATGTGTATCTTACCACAATAAAAACTTGGATAATAAATGTACTTTAAAAAAGAAACTTTATGTGGAAAACAAATATTACTTTCCATAAATTAAAAAATATACAAGAATTCATACAATGAAAATAAGACAATGTTATTAAATTATAGCTCTGATACAGGCTCTGACCCTGAAGCCTCTCTCTGAAGTGCAGGATAGCAAAGGAGTTAAGAGCATAGATCCGCAAGTTAGACCATCGAGGTTTGAAACGTCAGCTCTTTCCTTTACCAGCGGGTGACCTTGGACTCATCACTCAACTTCTCTGTGCCACAGTTCCCTCATATATTAAATGGGGGTACAAGCAGCACCTGCCTCATAGGGTGATTGTGAGGATTAAGTGAGTTAATACATACAAAGTGCTTGGGACAATGCCCGGCACCTGTAAGAGAGAGTTCAATGCTATTCCAGCACCAAGATGATCCTTTATCCATGATCTGTTCACTTAAGCCTGGACTCAGGCATCACCTTCACCAGGAAGCCTTCCCTGACTTCTCCCCTCACTCCCGAGGCTGAATGAGCACCCTTCCTCCTCATTCCCACAGCACTCAGTGCATCTCTATGTTCCTCAAGGTACTCTCATGTCTGATAACATGTCTGTCTTCCCCCGTGTACTATAAGCTCCTTTAGGGCAGGGTTGTGTCTTTCACCTCTGAATCCCCTGTGCCCAGCACAGGCATGGTGCAGTGATAATGCTCAATAAATAGAATGAATGAAGAAAGAGCTTTCCTCTGCCTGATGATTAAGTATAATCCTGTGAGACTGGGTTTAAGTTCAGGCAGAAGGCAGCAAAATAAAACTTCGGGTGGGTTTAATATGTGTCTCTTTAGACTGCTCTGTTTTGGTCTCCTCGAGACTCAACACCTCAGAAAATCAGAAACAGGATTCAGCTCCTGGAAATCACATTTCTTCCTTCTCTTCTGCCCTCTTTCAGCTCAAGCTCAGCTGTCACCTTTGGCCTCCCACCCTGGAGAGGTTCGCCAGGTGGGCACACTCACCCAGGCAGATGGGGGGTTTGCCTGTCCAGCTGCCATCTGCTTTGCAGGTGCGGTGCTCGGAGCCACCCTTGAGAGAGAAGCCCTCCTGGCAGGAGTAGATGAGTGTGTAGCCCATGGAGGGCAAGTCCAGGGCTCCGACGTTGGCATGGGTTGGCGTCTCTGGCTGCTTGCAGTGGTGTGCTGGACGAGAGGAAAGACTGTTGGACCTGAGGAGATTAGGGTCTGCAGGGGGCCTCTTCGACCACTCCCCTGTTCCTAGATGGAACATTCCCTTCCTTTCTCTTATAGGCCCTTTCACGCCCAGCACCCCCTCCCCAATTTCCTACCCCAAACCCAGGCTCGATGTCGATAGGAATGGCCAAGATGGAGATCACGTGAATACTGGCTTGGCCAGGGGGAGCCTAAACCTGCAGCACTTTTCCTGAGGAAAGAAGGAGTAATTATGGTCAAAAGCCTAAAATCTCCACCTGAGGCCACCTGGCCTTGTAGTTGTTAGTTTTTCTGCCACTAGAAAGTTTTTTGCTTGCTAAGGCATAAGGATTGGTTTCAAATATCAGAAAGGCTTTTGTGGGGAGATGTCTTCTGTGAGGCCCCAAGGGGTAAGGACTACAGAGACTGGCATCGGTCTAGATGAGAAGTTGCGAGCTCCCTGACATTCTGAGCTTTCGAGCATGTCCTGGATGCCCAGCTGGGGTAAGAGGAGTTTTCCCGGGGTGGCAGTGAGTCTGCACTCACGGACACAGTCAGGTGGGGTTCCGCTCCAGGTCAGGTTGGGGAGGCAGGTCCTGGTGGTGGAGCCCTGAAGCAGGTAACCTTTTTGACAACGGAAAAGCACTGTGCTTCCCACCTGTGCAAGGACAGAAGGTCCCACTGTCACCTTCCATCCAGCAATGCTTCATTCTTCTTCCTTTGACCCAACTCCTGGCCCTGCTGCTGCCTCTGCCTGTAGCACTCCTCTCCCGCCTCTCTGCCTGGTTAAATCTCATTTATTCTTAGAGGCAGCTGACATCTTGCCTCCTCCATGAGGCCCCTCCATCTGCCCCTGAGCTGGACAGATGCTGTTGCTGCACATATTACACACTGCTACAGTAGACAGAGCGCCTGCAATTCAGAGTCAGAAGACCCTGCATCTGAGTTCAGGCTTCCACATTTACTCACTGAACGACAGGCAGGCTGCATGAAACTCTAAACGTCGGTCTTTCTATGTATAAAGTAGGGATGACTGTCCCTGCCACAACTACACTGGAATGTTGTGATACTCAAAAGTGACGGTGGATTTGACAGCATGTTATAGAATGTGAAGAACAGTGCAAGATATACTTATTACTTGTGTGTCCCTTTCTTCTATGAAACTGTGTGTTCCTTAAAAATGGAAGACTTGTCTCCCTTACAGATGTGGCCCCTGTAGGACATGGCACTGTGCTTTGTAAATATCTGTTGAGCGCAATTGCCGTGCTCCCTCCAGCCCTCCCTTTGCTGTTTTGTTCCCCACGTTTGCCCTCCACTAGCTCCTCACTGTCTGACTCAACGCTCCTGCAACCACCAGCTCACAACCTCTCCCTCTCCAATCCACTTGGTGCAATGTGGCCAGATACTCGTGTGCTGCTGTTACCTATTGGAGCAAATTTGGATGCAATGTGCAGCTCTTAATTTTCACTGCCTTCCTCCACACCCAACCTGCTTCTCTCTCTGGTGCCATCGTCTGATTCAGCAAACGGTACCTTTATCCACCCAGCTGTGCAAATCAAAAGCCTCAAGTTGCCTTTGATCCCTTTAGCCCCTCAATCCAACCGGTCAACAAGTCCTCTTGGTCCGACCTACAAAATGCACCCTGAATGCTCCACTTCTCTCTGCCTGCACTGTCACTGCCCTCACACAATGTCACACTCACCTTTCACCCAAGTCACAACAATAGTGTCTTACTTATCTAACTGCTTCTATTCTTAACCCTCTGTGATTCATTCTCTCCTCAGCAGCCTGAGTTATGTTTCAAATGATGAATCAGATTGAGTTGCCTTCCAATGACAGTTATAAAATCTGAAATACTTATCATGCTCAAGGCCCTGTGTGACCTGGCCCATGCCTGCCTCTTTGCAAAAATTACTGTGTGATATTTGATGCATACAAAAGAATACATGGAACGTGAAGTGTAGTAATAAAATGGAAACCTGAAGTTGAGTCCGCCAGACAGCTTAAGAGCTGGAACATTAGGGACACAGTTTTAATGATCTCCTTCTCTGCTCCACCTCAGCTCTCCTCAGTGGTAACCACTATCTTGAATTTTGAGTGTTCAATTTCTTTGCCTTGTTAAAAAATAATTCTATCACACACGTGTACACATATATTTCTTTCTTTCTTTTTTTTTCCTTTTTGTCTTTTTTTACTGACTGGTAACAGGATCGCAACCCTCGGTGTCGCGCCCGTACTGGGGACCGGCAACGGGATCGCAACCCTCGGTGTTGCGCCCGCACCGCGCTCAGCCAGTGAGCGGGAACCGGTCTCCACATGGGATCCGAACCCTCGGTGGGAGCGCCGCCGCACTCCCAAGCGGCGCACTCTCTGGTGCGCCACCGGACCGGCCCATACACATATATTTCTAAACAATTTAATACATTTTTACTGGTTTTAATCTTCATAAAAATAGTGTCATACCACCTTTATCACTCAACACTATGTCTTAAGATTTATCCATGTCACCTAGAGCTGTGGTTCATTCATTTTCCCTGCTGTATAATAATTAATCGTGTGACTATACCCCATTTTTCCTCATTTCTTGGTAACATGTGCAAGAGTGTCTCTGGGGTATATTTCCAGGAGTGAAACTTGTGGGTCATAGAGTGTATGAATGTCTAACTATACAAGCCAGTGTCAAGGTGTTTTGCAACCCAGCCCAGCTCTTCGACTTCATTTCCTCCTCACTCACGATGCTGCAGACTTGCTGGCTGGCCTGCTTTCTAGTCCCCACCCTGCTGAGCACTTCCCTGCCTCTGCACAACTTTGCCCTGCATAGGGCTGGCCCTTCTAATCATGGAAGCCCACAGTTCAAATGTAACTTCAGAGGGCTCTTCCCTAAACCCCCTTCTTAAAATAGCAATCCACCCTGTTCACACCTCTTTCTATCACTCTGCGCAGTGTTCAGCACTCTCAGAAGTTATCTTTTTTGTTTGTTCATTGTCATCAGCCGGGCAGCTCCATTAGAGCAAGAGCCTAGCCTGTCTTGTCTCTACTGTCTTCCTAGTACCTAGAAAAGTTCAAGGCTGTAAATATTTGCTGGGTAAGTACAGGCAGAGTGAATACATCACATTGCTTGACTAGATCCCAGCCTGTCATTTCCAGGTTATTCCCTGATATGTATTGTACTGGGAACTGTCCTGCCTTGAACACACCTGCACTTTCCTGCTCCCCATCTCTGTTCAGAGTTTCCCACCCCAGGCTGTCCAAATCCTCTCCCTCTCCCAGAGCTCATCCTGAGATATGTCTGCGGGGCCTGCGTCTTGGTGGGATGGGCACACGGATGGACCTGCCCCACTGTGGCACTTGCTGCTCCCACCGAACCTGTGTTTGTGGGTAGGGTATGGGTGCCTTGTCTGTCTCACTCATTTCTTTATTTCACAAATGCCCTGCCCCAATGACTGGGGTTGCTGGAAGTGTTCGTGGAACTAAATGCCACATGTCCCACATTAGCTCCTTTCATGGATGTCAATGCCTTCCTGTTTCTGGTGGGTGATTCTGTGGAGCATGGTTCAAATAGGCAGAGTGCTTTCTGTCTCTGGTTTCCAAGGTCTCGTACTCCCCTAGTGCTGTCCCAGAGAAGGTCCCTGGGTCTTCTGATGCTGACAGTAACAAGAAGAGACAGGAGGTAGGAAGGCCCAGTCTTCGCTGACCCCATTACCTGGTAGCCCTGGGAACTGTTCTGTGTCCCAAACTGTGGCACGCCAGGATCTGCACACATGGTCAGTGTCGGATCTGGATCACCAAAACAAAGACACAGACCATATTATCATAAGCTTTCACTGCCTTGGCTCACTCTGAGAAATAGGTGCAGGGAAGAAAACAGTACCACAGCCTGACTTCCCTGCCTTGTGAGATCTCCACCTGAATGACAGCCCTGGCTGACAGATTCCCTGGAGCACATTAGCTTTGGCTACTTTGCATCCTGCTCCAAGATGCTCAGAGGAAGAGGATGTGGCCCTTTTGCAGATGAGACCACAGGAAAGACAGGGAAGTCATCTTGGTTCCAAAAGAAGGGATGTCCCAGCCGGGACATTCCCTCCCCAGATCACTTCTCACCTATGCAGCTGGGCTGGGTGCCACTCCAAGTCCCATCTGACTGGCAAAACCTTCGTGGAGAGCCCACCAGCACCAGAGGGGGAAGGCAGGAGTAGGAGACCGATGACCTGTAGGAGAAGCCTCGGTCCTCTCTCCTCCCATGGGGTGGGACACCAGGATCTCCGCAGAACACAGCTGGGAAAACAATGGAGAAAGGCAGGCCCACGTTGCTTTCTAGAACTCAGGCTGCCACTCCCCAGCCCACCTTTGCTCTTTGTACATTTCCCCTCCTGGTTTTGCTTGAACTCTGGGAACCAGGCAGCCGAGGTAAGTGCTTACACCTGCCTCAGTGCTGCTGCTGCTAGGTGCTTCCTTTCCTTTCCACACTCAAAATGCTTATTAGTAATCATCCAAGTAATGAATAGAAAGTTTAGAATACTGAAAATGAAAATAAATAAAAGTAAAAAGCCCTACAATCCTACTACCCAGAACTTTTTTTCCATTTTCACGCACATTCCTGTCTTGGTTCAGTTGTGTGTAAGCTCGTGCACGGCTGCAAACCCAAAGTCCATGTGATCGTGAATCTTGCTTCATTCACTTAATATTATCCTGTAAACATTTTCCATGTTTATGACATCATTATCATTTATTGGCTACACAATTTTGCAATGGGTGGTTGTACCGTAATTACAGTTTATCATAAACCTTATAATCAGGCGTTTTCTATTATTGTAAAGTTACATATGACTTTTCTTTCACTTGTATTATTTTCTTAGGAGAATTTTCTAGCAGTGGACTTATAACCTTTAAAGGCTTGAGTGTATTCATAGATCTTGATGAGTACTGCCAAATTTCTTTCTTAAGGGTGAGTATTTATGCTGTGGTGGGAGGTATATGAGCATGCCTATTTCATGCAGGTCGTGTTAACATCAGAGAGTATCATTCAAAACTGACTACCAAAGGCATAGCTTCCCCTGACACTTCTTCAAACATCTCTTTATGCTATGATGTGAATGTGTGTGTGTGTGTGTGTGTGTGTGTGTGTGTGTGTGTGTGTGTGTGTGTGTGTGTGTGTGTGTGTGTGTGTGTGTGTGTGTGTGTGTGTGTGTGTGTGCATGTACAAAGAGTTGTGAGGTTCATAATCATATGCAAAATAAAATGGAAGCTGGACCTGCAGCCTATGCCCTGGAAGCTGGGGAGTCTAGGCTGACCAATTAGAAGTCAGTTAAACGCCCAGTTGAGGAGAAATTACCAAACCTAGGAAGAGGCAACTTAACAAGAATATGAATGGTTAACAAGTAAAGAAAGAGCAGCTCGCCTTTCTAATAAGCAATGTGATGCCAACTAAAGTAACTATACGTCTTTTAAAACTCCTCAGGCTGGTAAATACTTTAAAAAATTGGCGAAATCCATTGTTCTTGAAGGTGTGAATCAAGAAACATTCTCATAAACTGGTGGCAGGAATGTAAATTAAGACACTCTTTCTAGAAGACAGTTTGGCAACACGTGTCAAGAAGTACAGTATGCCTGCCTGTTGGCCCAGAATTCTCTCTCCTAGGACTTTACCACAAGATTAAAGAAAGGTTATTTGCAGGGATATTAATTGCGGAACTGCTTCTAACATGACTAAACTAGAGATAACCTAAATTCATCACCAATAGGGGAAGATTAAACAAGCTGTGGTATCCACAATAAGGAAATTCTGTAAAGCCATTAAAAATGATGATGTGTAGGCTAGTATGTATTGCTAGAGAAAGGTGTTGATGGAAAGGTGTTGTTGGTGGCCTGCCAATGAGTACAAATTATGAAATAGTATGCACGGCATGATCCAATACTATTATAGACAGTTGTATACATATGGCTATATATGCAAAATGCATAGTGCTCCATGTGGAGGCATAATCAAAAGCTTAACCATGGTTATCTTTGGGAAGCAAAGGTTCAAATGATTTTTACCTTCTTCTTTGTATTTTCTAATATAGTCCACAATACATTGTTCAAAGGCAATTCTGCTGTTTCTCAAGAGGTAAAGCAAAGTTGCTGAGTCCAGACTCAACCCTGAGATTTGCTACCTTCCTAATGATTCCCTGGTGGCATGCGAAGGTCTGAGGGGTTAACCGTGCACCAAATGCTTGTGTCTACTGTTGAGGTGCTGGCCCTAATCTCTCCTAAAATTCTCAAATTGAAGTAAATTTTCAGAGATACCCAAACAGTGTCATGAATATGTGAAGAGTTTTCGAAGGATTAGATAAATGCCAGGTAGAAAGAAAAAATAGGTCCTACTGTTTGTCCAAAGCAAGGGAATAGAGAAAATATTTCAGAGCCCATTCATGGGGTGTGACAAGAATAAGTGACCTGGAACCTGCTTCTCTGGAGACGTCAGTGAGGAACGAGGCCTGGAATGGATTTGGGGCTCTTCAGGAAACAACTGGGCCAGGTGGATAGGAAATAAAAAAATTTCTATAAATTTTATAAATAAAAAAATCCAGAAAATTGCAGGTCCTCCAGAAGTCTTTTTTTTTTTTTTTTTTTTTTTTTTTTTTTTTTTTTTTCCGTCCGGCCCAGGG